TGCAATACGATGTGAAAATAAAGCTTTTATTATAATATAAAAAAAAAAATATAAATATAGAACGAACGCATTTATATTTATATAATAATCATAATCATATTTTCTTCTTTTTCTTATTCATTATAATAATATACCTGGAGAGGAAATTCTAAGAATTTCTTTGCAAACCGCATTTAAATATTCCATGGAATTGATCTGATCAAAATTTGGCTCAAAATCTTTATCAGGAAATTCTTTAACAATCTCTTCTCTCAGTTTGTCCTGAATTTCTTGATCTCTGGATAAATAATACAATGCCCAAGACAACATAACAGCGGTTGTCTCATATCCCGCTATCAAAAATGTCATAATCTTTGAAAAAAAATTTTTTAGTTAAAAACAATAATGATTGATAATTATAAAAAAATGATTTCCTTCGTAATAACAATTACCTGATTTCTTATTTCTTCAAAGCTCATTTGTTCACTTTTATCTATTTCCTGTCCATAACTAGCTTTCACCAATACACTTACCAAATCATTGCTATCTAATTTACCTTCTTTCAATTTATCAAATTTATCTTGAACCAATTCCTTTGTAATTTTTTCAATTTCAATCGCAGCGTTTTCGATATCTTTATTCATTTTTAATGGCAGAAAATTCACTATGGGTAAAGCAAGTGCTAATAAACTAATCGCTAACACGTCGTTGTTATCCAAAAGAGTGCTTAATGTTTCTGCAAGTCTTGATGTTCCTGTTAAAGATTTTATTTCAGAATCAAACCCTGAATAACAAATAATTAATTGTGTGATTAAACACTGATGATTGATTTTAATTGCATTATTTTATTATCTGTGCAATCCTATTTATAGAACCACTTACCAACTATGCCAATAACATCCAAAGATATTTTTCCCATATAACGACCAACATCAATTATTGCACTTTTTTTATCAATATTATTATTAACATTTTGACTATTCTTTATTTCATATTTCCATTGATCTTTCACTATATTAGAAACCCTTGTAAATGCTGGTATCATATTCTAAAACAATATTAATATCAATATTAAATACCAGAAATTCAAATTTTATTGTATAATAATATTCCATCCAACAAACCCGCTGTTAATGTAAATATTTACCTTAATACTGTTATGACCGAACGATGGATTCATCAGTTTACGGTGTCTTTTGTGTACGTCACCATCTAACGCCAAAAGACCTTCTCCAATAATCCTCTTGAAAGGTCCCGTGGCCATTTTTCTACCAAACTTAGTATACGCATCACTAACAAGTACTTTTTGAATATTTTTTTCGTCGAGAATATGAACTCTTGGTTCATTGAATAATCCATAACACCTGTATACACCGCCATATTTTTCTGCCCAATGCATTCCACCCTTATTAAATTAAATAAATATAATGGATACGGAGTCAAATTTTTTTACTTTTATATAAACATAGTTATATATATATAAATTATGCCCTCACCCTAGGTTTAACAATTTCCAAGAAATTTCCTAACAAAAAATGGTCGGGGCTAGGACCAGCCATTTTCAATAAAGGAGATAAATATAATGGATAAATTATCCATTTATAAGTATAATAGCCGACGATGAGTGTCGCGACGACTAAATACGCAGTTGTGCTTTCAATTATAGCCATCGTTGTTGTTGTCGTTGTTATTTTGTAAAGTAATATTTATTATTATTATAATTATTG